TTTCCCTAGAGTGCATTGAAATCTGCTTATAACACATGTGTTATTTATCAGGAATGTTTTCTTTTTAAAAAAATAAATAATGTAGATGTGCCTCCCTCATTAATAGAACCCTATATCTATTCATGTTTTCTTTGGATAAAGTCAACAAGATGTTTCTATGGGTAGGATTGATGCTTTTGTATACGCTTACCATATTGCATGGGAGCATTTGATCCTTTGATGACCCTAGGTCTTCACTCAGTGAAGAGTGATTTGCATGAGTAATACCCTGGGTAGTTTTGGTGGTCAGTCAAGCCATAGAGAAAATTCTTCTCCTTCCACTCTCATTTATTTTTTTCTCCTGAGTGCCAGCCAAAAATGGATTTTCATAAACTCTTCCAGGAATATTTCTGTTTGGAGTTTAAGTCCAGGTTTAAGTTGAATTCTCGGTGCCTAAGACCAAATTTCACAACAGGTCTTCTTATCCTTGGTTAACTGATAAATAAATAAATCTCTGAAGAGGCCTGCCGTCTTTTCCAGGTTGCTTTCTCCATTTACTTTGCAGCCCAAGAGTTTCTTAGATGAGAGCTGTGCGGATGGCCTAGGATCCAGCCCTCACCAGATTGCTTACCTGCCTATCCCCACAAGGAATACCTCACCAGTTTGACAGATGGTTTATTTCCATAATTTCACGACATCAGAATCTTAGTAGAGAAGACATAAGTCTTTGTAAATAATCACAAAGAGTTGAGAATTCAAAATACTAAGGTAAAGGAGAAGTGAAGACGTTAATTGTATTTGCTTATTCAGACATAATAATGAAGACCTATAGCTGTGGGAAAGGACTCAGCAATTATAAAGGTAGTCTACACTGTCACTTAAACACTGGACCGTAAATGCCGCTTTACCTATTAAAATTACTCTCAGCAGAAGAGAAAAACTTCTTTCCCTTTCTCCTAAAAATTGCCAGATCAAGTTTGATGTGCAAATGCCAGTAGCATCTGACCCAAAGCACACAGCACCAAAGAAGTACTTAACAAATTGAAGAAGAAAGAAAAACAGGAAGAAATAAAAAGAAAGTTAAAGAAGTTGTAATAATACTCTTAAAGAAGGCTTTATAGATTCATCCTGTTAAAATTTAGCTTCATCTCTATTATTCCCATCTTCCCCTTACAGATGTTGGCACAGCCCTTTTATTCCTGGCCTAGTTCTGTCCTCAGACTTCTGTCCCACTTCCCTTTCTTTACTCCGTCTCAGACTCTGAAATCCCATGAGAGCAGACATAGGAGGGGCCAAATGGGGTCCCCTGGCCACTTTGTAAGTTTGCTCAGCAGAGCTTTTTCAAGGACTACATACACCAAATACTCAATGTAATTCTTCTATGGCATTGTCAGACCTACCGGATGCACCTCGCAAGAGAGCAAAGGAACTGAATGGAATTAGAGGCTCAATGGCTTATTCACTTCATTCATTATTTGGGGGGAAAATCCAAGACTTTGCTCAGAGAGGATTAAAAGGACTGCAACAGGCATCTTCCGTCTGCGCTGCCAATCTAGCTACGATAGCCTCTGCTTGGTTTGAAAAGGAGGTCACAAAGTTCCACTTATTTCTCAGATCCTCAACACTTAAACTCAGCATGTCAAACACAACCAAAGCTAGTTATTCATTCTCACTGCTCGTTCAGTAATTTACCTTCAGCATCAAAGAAAAGTAGGGATTTTCCTTATGGTCCACCTCCAAAAGGCATTTACTTCTTAAATTAAAACACACACGCACATACAAACACTAACACACACCACACTACAGATTCACCATCTCCTCTAGATATATGTGAGAAAATCAAGCACTTAGGAGCATTTATACTTCATCAACCAAATATTAATTTAGTGCAATGCAACATATGGGTGGGAGAAATTGTGGCTATATTTTAACTGATTAAATTAAGACTACATAGGCTGAAGAGAGGTACATGCAGCCCAGTGAAACGCACTTGCCCTTGAACAAGAAGAGTTTATTTTGAGCTTGGTAGCACTGAGCAGTTGAGACTGAGAGTAGATTCCTTTCTGAGATGGCATCAGGCATCACACAAGGACCCCAGAGTTAGAACGAAATGGTTTAGTGTTTTGTTTGAAAAAGGACCACGGCTGCTTTCATTTAACCCAACATCATCACTGCCTTCCTTCCACATCTATACCTTCTTCTACCACACCCTTGTCTAACAGGCCGTCAGGCACTGTAGACTGTTACAGATGAGGGAAGCTGAGGTCAGGGATCCGTTGAAAAGTACAGTACTTGGGAAATGAAATACCAGCTAGAGTAAGGAAATGTGACTAAAGGATTTTGAGTTTGCTACTTTTTAGCTGTGAATCTTTGGAAAGTCACTTGACTTTGGGAGACACAATTTTCTTATCTATAAATTGCAATTAATAGTAGTTACCCTGCAAAATGCTTGAATAGACACATCACAACAGAAGATATACAAATGGCCACTAAGCACATGGAAGGGCACTCAATTTGATTAGTCAACAGAGAATTGCAAAGTAAAACCGCAATGAGATACCAGTTTACACCTACTACAATGGCTAACATCAAATGTTAGTGAGGATGGTGAGAACTGGCTGAATGCACGTAGATTGTTAAAGGGAGTATAAAAAGGTATAATAACTTTGGAGAACTGTTTGACAGTTTCTTATAAAGTTAAATATAATATACCTTATGACTGCAATTCTACCTTGGGTTTTACCCAAAAGAGAGGAAAATAAATATCTACAAAAAGAATTGTATGAGAGTACGTATAGTAGCTTTGGTCAAAATAGCCAATCTGGAAACAGACCAAATGTCATCAATAGGATAACAGATCAACAAATTGTGGTTTAGTCATTCTGAGGAATATTACTTGACAATATAAGTGAATCTCAAAAATAGTTTTTAATTTCGAGAGGATCTATTGCTGATGCAATTATTACTGACCTGTTAAAAGTATTTTACAAGTTATAATATTTGGATAAATTTTTTTTTAGGTTTAGAATTTTTTTTGAATTTTATTTTTTTATACAGCAGGTTCTTTTTAGTTATCTATTTTATACATATTAGTGTATATATGTCAATCCCATTCCCCCAGTTCATCCCACCACCACCCCACCCTGCTTTCCCCCCTTGGTGTCCATACGTTTGTTCTCTACATCTGTGTCTCTATTTCTGCCTTATAAATTGGTTCATCTGTACCATTTTTCTAGATTCCACCTATATGCGTTAATATATGATATTTGTTTTTCTCTTTCTTACTTACTTCACTCTGTATGACAGTCTCTAGGTCCATCCACGTCTCTACAAATGACCCAATTTCGTTCCTGAGTAATATTATGGCTGAGTAATATTCCATTGTATATATGTACCACAACTTCTTTATCCATTTGTCTGTCATTGAGCGTTTAGCATGCTTCCATGACCTGGCTACTGTAAATAGTGCTGCAATGAACATTGGGGTGCATGTGTCTTTTTGAATTACAGTTTTCTCTGGGTATGTGCCCAGTAGTGGGATTGCTAGGTCATATGGTAATTCTATTTTTAATTTTTTAAGGAACCTCCATACTGTTCTCCATAGGGCTGTATCACTTTACATTCCCACCAACAGTGCAAAAGTGTTCCCTTTACTCCACACCCTCTCCAGTATTTGTTGTTTGTAGATTTTCTGATGATGCCCATTCTAGCTGGTGTGAGGTGATACCTCATTGTAGTTTTGATTTGCATGTCTCTAATAATTAGTGATGTTGAGCAGCTTTTCATGTGCCTCTTGGCCATCTGTATGTCTTTGATGGAGAAATGTCTATTTAGGTCTTTTGCCCATTTTTTGATTGGGTTGTCTGATTTTTTGATATTGAGCTGCATGAGCTGTTTATATATTTTGGAGATTAATCCTTTGTCCATTGATTCATTGGCAAATATTTTCTCCTGTTCTGAGGGTTGTCTTTTCGTCTTGTTTATAGTTTCCTTTACTGTGCAAAAGCTTTGAAGTTTCATTAGGTCCCATTTGTTTATTTTTGTTTTTATTTCCATTACTCTAGAAGGTGGGTCAAAAAATATCTTGCTCTGGTTTATGTCAAAGAGTGTTCTTCCTATGTTTTCTTCTAAGAGCTTTATAGTGTCCAGCCTTACATTTAGGTCTTTAATCCATTTTCAGTTTATTTTTATGTATGGTGTTGGGGAGTGTTCTAATTTCATTCTTTTACATGTGGCTGCCCAGTTTCCCTAGCACCACTTATTGAAGAGACTGTCTTTTCTCCATTATATATTCTTGCCTCCTTTGTCATAGATTAGTTGCCCATAGGTGTGTGGGTTTAATTCTGG